ACAGCTGCTTTTATAGAAATGATAATTGAATCCATCGGGTCCAGGAGATGAATTGGAGGAGCCTTTGAACACTGCAGTTTTAATTTCTTCCTCCAATATAGGGGAAGTAAGCAAAGTATCATATAAATCTGGAATAAGTAGGAATAGAATCGAAGTTCCTACATAGAGGAGGAAGAGGATTAAACAGTACTTTAAAATGATTAATAATAGAATTAATCACCTCTTCCTTGGCAGTGTTCGTATTAGCAGTAAATAAGTTGACAATAGATTTAGAACTACCAATGCGGCTTCTAATTTTCCCATAGAGGAATTTAAGATCATCCTCACCATGCTGTAGCCATTTTAGTTTAGCTCTTTGAATGATCCAATTAGCTTGCTTAGAAGTGACATCAGAGATTTTCAGATTGATGTCTTTAAGAGAGGCACCAAGAGAACCGTCCAAGGGATTGATCGATAAAAGGTCGAGGAGGTTCTGTTGCTTTGTTTGAAGAGCTTCCATCTGATGATTTAGAGAATTGGAATTGGCCCAATCTTAATTTTTAATGTCACCTTTAAGATATCTAAGAACAGTACAGAGATGAGATAAAGGGTTATCAACAAATGGCATAACAAAGACATTTAAAAGAAAAGCCCAATATCTATCAATCTTAGTCCAAAAATTCTTAAACAAAAATCTGTGATGAGTCTTAAAGGAGACCCTAGAATGCAAAACAATGGGGGAATGATCCGAGCAAGACGAATTCTGATAGGAGCAGAAGGCAGTAGGAAATTTCTTCATCCATTCCTCATTAACAAGAGCACTATCTAATTTGATAAAAATAGGATTAAGTGCTTGTTGATTGAACCAATAAAAAAAATTACTCACCGAATGCAAGTCCATCAGACTATTGGCAAAAATCATGCTGTTTAAATCAATCAGATTTGAATAATGAATAGCAGTACCTCTAGATTTTTCATTAGCATATCGACAGCAATTGAAATCCCCCAAAACAATCCAAGGGGTATCAGAGGGAGGAGCAACCATACTTAAAGAGGACCATAATTCTTTTCTGCCATATGCATTGTTAGAAGCATAAATAATAGAAATCTGAAAAGGGGAAAGATTACCAACATTGACAATATCGTGAATAAACTGTGAGGTAACCAAAGTAGGAGCAAAACTTAACTTATTGCCATTCCATTTAATCCAAATCCTCCCAGAGGATGTGAGATTAAAATTGTGAACACTATCTTCAGACGGGAAGAGAGAATGGGAGGCTTCAAAGAAGGGGTCTTGTAGAGAATGAGCATGAACACGGGTTTCCAGAAGACAAAGCATGTCGAACTTGAAGGAGTTCATAAGCCTTTTACTGCTTAATACTTTCTCAGACTGATTAATTCCTCTAATGTTCCACACACCTATGGAAGGAAGGAGCATTAGGAATTGACTTGAGAGTGGGATTTTTTACTCTGCTTACCCTTTGCATATTTTTTGAAATTGTCAGATGTTATTTGCTTCTTATTTTTCCCCGTATATTTTTGAGGAATATCAACTGTATCATTAGCAACAGCCATAGAATCCGATGTTTCCGAGTCATTTTGAGAGTTTAGGATCTCAAATCTATTAGGAAAACTGATGCTGGTAGAAGGTTTATTTGTATTGTTCAACAACGACGAAGATGATTCAGAAATCTCTTCAGTTGGGATATTCAAATTAGGAATGCTTGCAACAATAACGTCTTCATTGAGACTCAACTTAGAAGTCTCAGACTGAGGTGGATGAGTCGTAGGTGGAATTTCTGAAGACGGGGGATTGCTCTGAGATTCAACATTATTAATAAGTGGAGTGGGAGAGTGAGCTTGGTAGTGTAGAGTTTTCCCGATATTGTTGGTATGAAGAGGGATGGGAGGTGAAATGTTTATATCAGCAGTAGTGGTAATGGCCGTTTCTTTAGATTTAGAAACTGACTGAGGAGGTCTATGAGGGTTGGAAGGGAAGCGATTGGTAGGTTTTTTGTTGCTGCTTCTACCACGGTAGTTCGGGAATTTAGGGGTTGGATCATTGCCATCAGAGGAAGGATTAGAGAGACATGCAGAAGAATAATGAACTAAAGAGTTACAGTGTTCACAAGGAACCGGTCTCCAATCGCACTGCACCTTTAGTTCCACCACATCACCGTCAAGCGAAACTTTGATTACATCTGGGTAAGTCGCATTGCAGTCTACAAGCACACACACTCGAGCAAAAGTTAAATGAGTCTTTTGCTCAGTAAGGTGATCAGCAGCCAGGGGAACACCTATCTTGCTTGCTATTCGCGAAATGCCCTCTGAGTTCCAGCAGGCCAAAGGAAGATCATGAATTTTTACCCAGATCGGGATTGTAGAGAAATTTTCACGCTTTGGCTTAAACTTAGGATGCCATTTTTGAAGAACAAAGGGCTTCCCAAGCAAAAACCAAACACCTTTTGACCAAGCCATGTCAAAATCTTCAACACATGAAAAACACAGAAGAAAAAATCCGTCACTAAGCGAAAGTAGCTGGAGAGAACCTTTGAGAGTCCACGTCTTGTTAATCGCTCCTAACAGAGTTCATAAAATGATCTACGGCCTATGGAGTAACCAACAAGACATAGATTCCAATCATCACCTCCCTTAGCAAGCTTCACATTAGAGAATGGTATTATCTCTGGCTCGGATGGATGATGCGAAAAGCTGAAAACTTTGGTAGCAGAGGAGGTATCTAGCGCAAAAATCTGATTCCAGTTGCGCAGAGAAGCTGGAGCCACAACACCAGCAGAGGAGAGGGGAGGAAAATCCGAGGTGAGGAGAGACGTCGCCATGCAGAGAAGCCTCCGGCTTAGCCGGAGGGGGAAGGCGGCGAAGAAGAAAAAGCTCAGCAAGAGAAAAGGGGAAACCCTAGCAGAGCTTTTGGTTCTAATCTTGTTCCTTGTGTGAGAGGTCCCCGTACCAGTTAAAGTTACAAAGCCTGAAAATGACTGGGATATTTCTCTCTCACATTCTTCGAAAAAGAATACTAAACAAAGTATATCATTCATCTCTTCAGGTGTTCCAAGGAGCATAGATTCCCACCTAAATTAATACATCATACAATATAAATAGTTTTATTTGTCAACTCAAGATATTGGTATGGCCTAGCTAATATAGGATCATAGAGAAAACCTCGTTTGTTTGAACTTCACAATATGCATTTTACAGTATAAAATTTATCTAATTTGGCCCTTCGATTTCTTATCCTAAAATTGGTAAATATCATAAATATTTATACGGCACAAAGGATATCTTATAATATAGTTACTTCAAATTTAAGTTTACTAATTTGAAAAAAATAGATAAAGGTCAGGCGTGAATATAAATTAGTACATCATATATGGCTATTTAAATCTTCCAATATGATTAATTATTTAAAACTTTTTATTTTAATTATTTGTTAAATAATGTTACTTGATTATCTTATTTGCAAAAAGATTCTACTCTTATCATTCAGTATAATTCAGATCATACATTACTATTAGTCAGAGAATAAAGTGTTGTAATTAACTTAAAAATGTCTTGTTTTTAATTTATTTTATAATGATGTGTGCGTGCTTGATTGTTTATCTCACTGTATGCCTCTACAAATATAAGAAGAATCAAGATAAAAATATAAATTAGCACAACACTTTATTTTTTGAGGTCTTCCTATTTTTTATAGCTTCATATTTTTTATTTAAGCTTAATCAATCTTTTCTGATTCTTATCGCTTGTGTGGTTGATATTACTTTGCCCTTCGTTTTTTCTTTTGCTTGAAATATTATTTTAAAATTGACAACCTTCCCACAAATATATAATTTAAATCAACATAATCAATAATATTTATGTTTGTGAAATACCACAGGATCATGTGTTTAAAGAGAAATATTTTTTTTTTTGTCTTTTTATAAAAAAATACCTAAAAAACAATTTACTTTCAAGATTATGATACACAAATAAATTTGTATTAAGTAACATTCATATCAAATAAAGATTGTATTTGCACAAGCGGTGAGCATAAGCCCAAATGCTAATTTATGAATGATAAAAAAAAATTATTTAATTTGAATACTCATATATCATGAAATAGATAAATTATTTTATATCATAATGTTGTTGAATATTGCTTTTATATGCTTGAAATATGATTCATATAATCTTAAAAAGTAAATAATGAGAATTACGTATTAAGAGAAGAAATCCTCTTACAAAACTTATTTTTATTTTATAATATTTTAGAAATTAGAAATGTGATATATAAGTTTTATCTTATTTATTTTATGGCAATTCAACTCAAATCTGTTAAAGCAACATAATCCTTATATGATACCATAAATACTAGTAGAATATATGGAATTTAACATTTTAATAGTAAATGATAGACGTTAGTAAATATTTTTTTGAAATTATTGATAAATATTGGCAGTGGCGGAGCCAGGAATTTTTATCTGCGGGGGCACAAAATTTTGACTATAAAAATACTCTCAAACATTTTCATTTTAGCTTCAAATTGAAATTATGGTTTTATTTTTTTTATTATAAGAAGATAAATTCTATGATAATGAAAAAAAAAGAAACGAACTAAATCTACTATGAATCAATCCTATTAAAGTGATAAATATTTATTTGCTTTAAACTCTTAACACATGCAGCCAAGAGAAAAAAAAAAAAAATTAGGGGGGGCACGTGCCCCCCTAGGCCCCCCTATATCCGCCTATGAATATTGGTTGTTATGTAAATAATAATATTAATAATAATGAAAATTAAATTTATGTTTTCATATTTGATATTAACTAAGAGAAATTAGTATAAATTTTAGTATCAATTTGTTTTATTAAAAATTAATAAATAAAATTAAAAAAATATTTAATTAACATAAAGAATATTTTTCTTCAGATAACAATAATAAACAAAAACTACAACACTGCAAGTGCAGGCCAAAATTAATTGAGGATAAGGAGAGAGAGAGAGATATGAAGCGCATCACCGTAACAATTATGAAGGGATGGGACCATCTTGCAGGTCGTGGGAGGGGTAAAACATGACCCTGTCGGTTTATCTGCGCTCCCCTAATCCCCATCTCATCAGCTCCTGACAGACCCACAAACCCCCTCTTTCTTCCTACATCCCCTCTCATGGCTACCTGATAGCTAAACCTAAAATCTAGCTCAACTCAAAGGCCCAAACTCTCATCTCCATTTCCCTGCTTCCCATCTCAGCGTTCAAGCACTCCCAAGCTCTCCCAAGCGCATCGGCGCATCGCTTTCTCTTCATCTCTCTTAGACAGTAAAAACAGTAAAAGATTCTTCTTTTGATGAGAAGCGTTGCCTGCTGCTCCTTATCAGTGAGATTAGAACTCCCAGTGCACCAACAAGGAAGCTCTCTTTTTTACTAGCTGTGCTTGCAAAGGGTGGCACCCCTACTCTCCTTAACGCATTCCTTTTCACTTCTCTCTCTTTCCTTTTTAGGCCGGTAGGTTAACTATTGTTGGGAAACGAGAGATCAAGCATCAATTCATAATCTTTGGGATTGATGGAGTTCAGAAGCAACCATGACGATGGGCCGCACGCTACTCCCATCTCCCTCGCCCATTCCCCAACATCCATCCGTACCTCCGCCTTCTCCAAACCCCCTTCTTTCAACAACGGTCTTGCCCTCTCTCCCACCACCCCTGCCACCACGTCAAAGTATCGAGAATGCCTGAAAAACCACGCAGCCAGCATCGGCGGTCACGTCCTCGACGGCTGCGGCGAGTTCATGCCCAACGAAGAAGACAGCTTAAAATGCGCCGCCTGCGCTTGCCACCGCAGTTTCCACCGCAAGGCGTCCGACGCTGGCGCGTCTAAAAGGTCTCCCGCATCGGCTCCTTTACCTCTACTTCTACCGCCGCCTCCGCTGCATAAGTACCGACACCATCAAAAGCATTTTGGGTTTCAGCCGAGTCTGAGTGGCGGTACGACAACCGATTCTTCGAGTGATGAGCAAATGGACGTCAACGACGTCGTAGCCACCGCGGCGCAGCCTACTCATATGGTGGTGACGGCTTCAAGAAAGCGGTTTCGGACGACCTTTACGGTGGAGCAGAAGGAAAAGATGCTCGGCTTTGCGGAGCGAGTTGGTTGGAGGCTGCAGAAGCAGTACGAAAATGCCATTGATGAGTTCTGTAATGAGATTGGAGTTCGCCGGAAAGTTTTCAAGGTGTGGATGCATAACAACAAGCACTCTATACGGAAACAGCAACTCTTGATGCAGAAGCAGCCACATGAACAGCTTGAGCACCTTAGTCTTCAGCAACGGGAGGAGCAGTAAAAGTTGGTGAAGCTAATATGTGGCATGAGACAAATTAGTTGTACTGGAACAACCGAAAAATTAGATTTGCTTATTTGTGTTCTTTGCTAGCGTTCGTCTAGCTAGCTCTTCATGGTTTGATCTTCCTGACTTAAAACTCTTAGCTTTTATGTACAAGTTTTCAGCTTCTATAAGTATTTTTTTTTTTTTGCTGCTGCTTATGCTGTATATCTTGTCCTATCTCTATTCTTCCTCTTATTTTTTGAATCTGCATGGTTTTGTGCGGTTAAGCTTTAGCATTGCTGCTCCCCTGGAAACCAAGTGTATTTATCTTGCCCTTCTATTCTATGTGTTACATTCGGCGCAGCTAAGTTCGCCAAATCAGCCCATTTGTTCTTTGAATCACCAAGCTAGAGACCAGGTAAAGCTGGCTGCTTATATGTTTATTCTGTCCTCATTGTAGGAAAGGACCACCTTAACGATCTCATATATTGTTGATCTGGTTTCCTATGGTTGTTATATTATTTGTTTGCTTGTGACTTTTTTTTTGGAGATTTCATCTCTTCTCCTCCTACATTTCGAGCAGGTGACTACATTACATTTGTAAGTTCGATTGGGTTACAAAACACACTGCTTCGTTCTTTAAATGACCTAGCTTTTAAGCAGGTAAAGCAAACACCGTTTTGTGTTCTATTGCTCAATTTCTTGGAAGGACTCCATCAATGATGCCATGCATAGTTGATCTGGTTTCGTATTGTTGCCTTTTGTTTTGTTAAGCAATATCTATGATGATGTCGTATGATTATCAGTAAAGCTGTGTTTGCAGGTGTTTTCGGTAATGACAATTAATGCTCTGTGCTGTTACTGCTGCATGCCTTTACGGTACTTTCTCGGCGAAATCGGCATGTCATTAAGGCAGTGGCATTTATATGATGAACACTTTCAATTCTAATGTGAATACACAGCTCATCTTAATCTAGTGGTTGATAGCTTAGGCTTTCAACTAAGAGGTCTTGGATTCGAGTTTTTGTGTATGTGTTGTGTGTGTGAGTTTGTCTTAAATGACCTAAATGTCCAAAAAAAATTTTAATGGGAATTGAATCATCCCTCTTTGAAGGTTTTTTTTTTTAATGTAGAAATTATATTTTGCTTAGCTGGGTGGGGTACTGTCAGTTTTGTTGGTAAATTTTAAGAAAATAATCCAAATTTTAGATCTCTACAATGGCATTCTGTTAATTAAAAAAAAAAAATCTTTGCTTTGGGGCTGTGTAATGAGTAATTTGTTATAAAGTACCTTGGTAAGTAAAGCCTTGAGGTGATCGCCAACTGTTTTTTTTTTGGGGGGAATATTGATCGCCAACTGTTAAGTAGGTGAAAATGTTGTTTGGTCACCCTTTTTTATTATAGTAAGAAGTGTATTATAAATATGAATTCTATAAAGGATAAATTCACCTCTAATATTATAAATGGAGACGGAATGTGTAATTTAAATTAGCAATAGGATCATGTGTCTAAAAAAAACTAAAAAAGAAGTAAATTAATTAAAATAGAATGGTGCATTCTAAATAATGCATTAAATGATTTGGTGCATTTAGCTTAACCCCTCGGTTGGGTTGCGTCAGGGATGCCCTCTCAGTCCTTATTTGTTTTGCATTTTCATGGATGCCTTATCGTGTTTATTGGAGAACTCTTCTTTTCAACCTGTTGATATTAATGGCTTTAAAATTTCGCATCTCCTATATGCGGATGATGTTCTCGTTTTTTGGCAAGGCTTCCCTTTTGAATTGCCAAGTGCTTATTGGCATCATCTTTAAATTTGCCAACTCCTCTGGCATCAATGTTAACCCTGCAATAAGCTCTATCAGCATACAAGGCAGCCCTCCTCTCATCAAAGACATTTGTGATATCATTCATATTCACAATGTCTGCTATACTTTCACTTACTTGGGCATTCCTGTTTCCATAAAAAGAACTCTCATCTCTCATTTCTCCCCCTTCTTGATATTATTATTAATAAACTTTCGGGTTGGAAAGCTAAGTCTTGTCTTTTACAGGTAGGCTTCAATTTTTAAGATTTATAATTTGGAATACTATCGCATACTGGATATGCGGGGCAATTTTACCTAAAGCTTGTTGTAAACAGTTGTCCAAGCTATCGTCTAAATTCTTGTTTTTTGGGGATATTGAGGCTAGAAAGCTTCATCTGGTCTCTTGGGTTAATACGTGCAAACCAAAAAATAAGGGTGGGCTTGGTATTCCAGCTCTTCAGGCTATTAGACAAGCCTATGACTACTCCATTTTTTGGATCTATAATTGGGAATCTCCTCTATCTACATGGTATTTATCTAAATATTGCTCCCCTTCGAAACCCCCCTCTGCCTCCTCTTCGGCTATGTGGAAAAGCATCTATAATACTGCAAGGCAAGCTAAAACCAATTTTTTTTTTTTACAATTACCGATAATTCTCCCATTAGTCTTAAATGGGATCACTAGTGTAAAGGTCTTTGCATTGAAGATGTGCCTCACCATCACTCTCTGGCTATTTACTTCCCTGACAATGCACGCTTAGATGCTATTTTTGATTGTAGAGAATGGCATATCCCTCCCACCTACCCGGTTAATATTAAAAATGATATATGCTCTATCCCTATTGATTGTGTTGGCCGGGACAAATGCTTATCCTGGGGATCTAGAAACACTAACAAATTTGGATATTTCATCCAAGATTTTCATAAACTGGAGGATGAGACCTTATGGAGTAAATTGGTTTGGCACAAACATTACGCTCTCAAATTTTCCATTTATGCTTGGCTGTGTTTCGTGGGAGGGCTGAAAACCTTTGATGCTTTGCGTAAAAGAAAGATTGATGTTGATCCTCTTTGTATCTTTTGCCAATGTTGTCCGGAAAGTGTTTCCACCTGTTTTCTGAGTGTAATTATACTTTTTGCATCAACTATACTGCCTTGCCTAAATTCCTTTTTTATGAGGCCAAATTTAAGTCAGGTTTCTGACTTCTTAGCCAATTGCGGTAATTCTGAAGATGCCAGCTTATCTGTTAACCTATTGACTCTTTGGGCTGCTGTTTACATCATATGGAGGGAGAGAAATGGGCCGAAATTCGCTAACTGTACTAAAAGCATCACGACCATACAAGCCCTGATTAAGCAGGTGGTTGCTATTAAGCTTACAAGATGGAAAAAATGATGAAACTGCTTGGTTTTTATATTGGCTTTCTTGGGGGGGTCTGTTGGCACCTCGGGTTTGCTGTGTTACTAGGTACTATTCACTCAGCTTGGTGGTGTAAATGAGTTGAGATCTGAGCACCCTTTGCACTAGCTTGATAAATTAATTGAGCTCGAGTTGTGTTCTAAGAAACAGCTCATTTATTATGAAAAAAAATATGATTTAAGTACTTGTTTTAATAAATTATGAAAAAGAATAAGAAATTATAAAAAAATTATTGTCTTAATGTAAGGAGTTATGAGAAAATATTTAAATATTTATAATAATTTGTTACATAAAATTTTGAATTTTAATATATTTTTAGTGTATTTTATAAGAATATTTTTAAACAAGTGGGTTTATGGTGTCTATAAAAGTTAATAATTAGTTAATATATTAAAAATAAAGTAAAAAAATTAAATTATTAACAATTATTTATTAAAATTTAAGGCTTCATGTATTTGTTTTAAAAGCTTGAGATGTATTAATTAAAGGCTTCAAAGCAAGTTGGAGCCTTTAATTATCATATTCTTTAAAATAAAAGTAAAAAAAAAAAACTTTAATAAATCTAAGTCTTCATGCATTTGCTCTATCCCTTAAGGGGGTTCAAAAACAAAAATTTTAAGCCCAGGACAAGTTAATTAATAATTTTAAAGCTCTTTGGAGTCTTTAATTATCATTGTTTCTTAAAATAACTATTAATAAATTGTTAATTAAAATTTTAATTAATAAAATGAAGGACACTATGCAATTGCTTCCACTATGCAATTGCTCTATCTCTTAGAAGGAGATCAAATACATTACAATTATTAGCGTTAGGGTTTGTTGTTTAACAATTCGTAGTCTCACTTAGAATTTTTAATCCCCAAATTCTATATAACAACTTAAATTAAAATAACCTCAACTCATAAAATAAAATAGATTCGTCCTTTAATAAAAAAAAAATTAATTGTAAATAATTTAAACATCAAGCCCTTAAGTCATATAAAAGCCACACATGTCTATCACACATTATAGAATTTTTTTTCTAGGACAAGACACTCTATTTTAGGATGGACGACTGATTGCTTTGGTGTGATTGGGTGCCTTGCTTATTAGGTATCTTATATTGTGTTTGTTTCCTTTTATATCATGTACTCTACACACTTTCTTTCTTGCTAGTGCACTTCTCTATATTACATTGCACTTTATTACTTTCAATATACCTTTGCATTATTAAATTATATTTATTACAAAGAGTCAATGTAGAATGTAAATACCATTCAATGTAAATGTTAAAAGACCTTTTTTTTTTTAATGTTAAAAGTCCTTGTAAATGTAATTTGTAGATCTCTTGTAAAGATAAATTGAATTGTATAAAAGAAAAAGAGTTATTAAAATCAATAGAGGTAGTTGCTTAAATATATACTCCAAAAGATAATGATCTCACTTACTTTGAGGGCATTATCTGTTTAAATTCTATAGAGGACCAAGAGCGAGAAGATAAGAAGATTAAATATGTATATCTATACAGATTTATGTCAATCATACTTGTAGAAATCTAGGCTTATTTTAGGTGGAGCCTTGCCACCTTTCTTTATAGATAACCCTAAGTAGTACTTTACAAATTATATATATATATATATATATATATATATTCAAATTTCTTTTACGCATTGTTTTATATATACATACATTGCATTAGTAGTGATAGTAGATTGATTTTATTATAAGGTAGATTATTTCTTAGATTTTAATGACACATGTACCCTTACCTTTATAAGGATATATATGTTAGATCTTGGATGTTGCAGTTTTGTACTACATACCTGAACACCTTGACTTATATATGCATACTTGAATTTATTTTATTTTCCTTCGATGTACACTAGCACAACATATAAGCTAACAACAACGAATTATGGGCCATAGTGATGGGGTGGTCATAGTATTCTTTATGTGTATAATAAGGTTATTGTGTAGTCAAAATTTTCTAAGGAATTTGGACTTAGAATAAATTTAGAAAATTGTAGGTAGATTTATTGTCTAGGATAAAGTCAAATCAAATTGCATTAGTTTGGTGCACTTGAACACAATACCTATTTCAAATTATGGATTTAAAATATAAACTTAAATCTTTTGTTCATGTTAATAAATAGCCATCTACCTTCTAATTAAAAGAA